GGGGGTCAGCCCCACCATTTGTACAATTTTGAATCCCTGCCTCCCATGAATGCTTCCGACCAAATATGATCAATATCCATGGTATAGTTCTACGGAAGAAGTCGTTTATAGCAATATAGCCAAATTGCCCCCTTTTGGCCCAGCCCTCAGCCCCCTGGGGGGTCAGCCCCACCATTTGTACAATTTTGAATCCCCACCACCTAGGGATGCTTCCAGTCAAATATGGTTGATATCTATCTCTTAGTTCCAGAGAAGAAGTCGCTTAAAGTAATATAGCTAAATAACCCTTTTTGGCCCCGCCCCTCAGCCGCCACGGGGGTCAGCCACACCATTTGTACAATTTTGAATCTCTGCCTCCCATGAATGCTTCTGATTAAATATGATTGATATCCAGTGCATATTTCTACAGAAGTCGTTTGTAGCAATATAGCCAAAATGCACCCTTTTGGCCCCGCACCTCAGCCCCCTGGGGGGTCAGCCCAACCATTTGTACAATTTTGAATTCACACCACCTAGGGATGCTTCCAGTCAAATATGGTTGATATCCATCTCTTAGTTCCAGAGGAGATGTCGCTTAAAGCAATATAGCCAAATTGCCCCCTTTTTGCCCCGCCCCTCAGCCCCCTGGGGGGTCAGCCCCACCATTTGTACAATTTTGAATCCCCACCACCTAGGGATGCTTCCAGTAAAATTTAGTTAAATACCAATCAGTGGTTAAGAAGAAGAAGTCGTTTAAAGAAATTGTTGACGGACAGACGGACGCCGGACGCCACGGTATGGCATAAGCTCACCTTGGTCCTTCGACGGACCCGGTGAGCTAATAATTGACCTTTTTTTTGTGTGGACTCAAAACCATGACAGAACAAACCCAGGTGACCTTGAGTAAACCAAACTCAATTGACCTTGAGACTGTGACCTTTGATCTTTGACCTCTTCAATATTAAAACCCTCTTCTTTCTGATAAATCCCAATGTCTTGGTTAACAACTTCATTAGACTTGAGACAAGTTGAGTTATAATTCCGTTCATACCTTTGACAGATATAGATATTGTTTAAAACTAGAAGCAATGCTTTTGCAGGTGGTTCATACAATTAACCCTTTCACCACTGTAGACCATAATGGACTCATCCAGATGAATGTATGGTAGAGTCTACTCAAGTTACCTAGTAGGGTTAAAACATCAATTTACAAATGTATCAAGTGAAACAGCAAATTCAACTTCTAATTTATTTTGATCCAAAGTGCACTGCTTGCTACATGACTATAGGCAGAGAAAAAGCTCCAGTAAGATCATGGCAGGTGGGGAATATTTTACAAGCAAAACATAAAACTAACCTCGCATTATGCATGTTTTCAAATGTTATTTTCGAACCCCTTAGATACATGTATATAGTACGAACAGAGATGGCAAACTCTTAATTTCACAAGACATTAAGGCCTAGAGGTGGGGGGGGGGATACCACTTTTAGGTATAGTGGTAGTGATGGGTTTTGAGAGAGATGAGGGCAGAGAGGAATACAAAGACTTGTGTACAACATTATTAATCACTGTCAAAAAAGTATTTCACTTAAGTACTGAGATTAGGTAGTAATAGGTACATTGGTATTATAACACATCTTGTAGATATGATATATATAACACTACATATAGGTATATATCACGTACACTATCGTATTCCTGTTACCCGCAGTCACCATATGCTAATTTTAACAGCCGGAGATGTTAAGTATAAGTACAGAAGTCTCTCAGTTTAATTGTTGAACCAAGAAGAGCCAGTAAAATATATTTGTTGGGTAGAGGAACGGGACAGTTAAGATATAAATCAAAAAGCTTCTCAAGAAAAACCAGGACGACCCCGGAAACATGGCAAGATGTCCCGGTAAGCTGTTACGGAGAGTAACAACTTATAATACAAAGTTTTTATCAGGTAACGGTGGAATTGGCTCCGGGAGAGTGAGGTGTACATATACCTATATATATATATATATACAGGAGGGATTGAAAGGAAGATTGTACAAAGGTCACAGCTAGCGTGTATAGCTCTCTCTCGAAATCTTACCAATATTTCTAGATATATTGTGACAGAATATACGCCGTGCTGTGAAGAAATTGGTCCAAGATTTTGAAATCTGACCAATATTTTGAGTACAGTATATGTATATCAGATTACTGGTAATAATATATTTACCTGTCAGAAGCAAATATTTACTTGAAATGTTCAGATGACCAAATTTTAAGGAATACGAGTTGTAGTTGACCAAATTACATGCTATTTCAACTACCACATATTTATCTTTGGCAATACACCCATGTCTGCTAATAAGCTTCCACCCATATTTCTTACAGTTCAGAAGAAATGCCAGCAAATACTATTTCATAATCATGTAATAAGCCTATATTCCTCTCTACTTCATAACAGAGGTAGTGTGTTGGAACCCGGGGCAAAACTGTAGGATAAATATGGTAAGATAAAGCGGGTGGGTGGGTGTGGGGGGTGTGTGGGAGGAACTGATGATCTATTAACTATTTTATTTTTTTCATTAATTGCTGTTATCAGAACAGGGAGATGACTTATATGGGCTATGCTTGCTTTGTCAGCTGTTTGTGGATAAGCATGTATGTTACCTCACTCAGCTTATCTAATTTAACCTTACTTAATCGTTATCTAAAATGAGCTTGTATATATATATTATACAGCATGTTGTTCCGAGTGCCCTTACCATGGGAGAGGGACACTGACCTTTTAACCTCTGTTTAATATCATCTGATATCACTTTCGTCCATTCTATTGTTTCTTCAGCATCATAGTTCTTTCCCGTCAAATGTTCACTTAAGGCGTTATGTATGCATTCCTTCACAATAACCGGACGAAATCTGCAAACAGAAGTTATAGACATGAAATAAAAACAAATTTAAGAAATGGCTATTCCTCCTCGACTTATAGTGTTGTTCATTATGTTTCTCTACGTTAATTGTGTCAACTCTTTTAAAGACACAAAGATATATAGATATATTATAATTAGCAATCATCTAAAGTTGAAAGTTTTTTTCTCTAATAAAACTGTGTGTATAAATCTTTGAATTACAAATGCAAGCAGAAACTTAATAAATCGCATACGTTCTCTTCCATTTTGTTAAAAAGAACTTTGCAGCAAATTAAAATGTTAAATGTTAAAATTTTGCAGTACTGCCTATATATACATTATAGCCCTTTCCCCAAAATGTGAGTTACCCCCCTTTGCGGCTGCAGGCGCTACAATTGTTTAAACTTCCGGGAATTGGATTCAACGCTACAGTGACTGCCGATAAAGAAAATGTATACTTTACTAATGATGAGATATGTACTTTCAAAGTGCCAGCGATGAAATATTACTCAAGGCAACATGGACAGTACGTCACCGGTCAAGAATTAGATTTGGTTGAAAGGGCTAAAGGTATCCGGAAACTTAAACTTCGAGATATGAATGGTATACAACATGATGCCGCCGCCATGCACTTAATGGGTAACAAAGAAAAGTGAACTACCCCACTAGGAGAAGTAATTCCAGAAGCATCTTTGCTAAAAAAACTGGACATTTGATGTCACAAACATTCCACATTTTTCAGACAGTGAAATTTACAACTATCTTGTGTTATCGATGAAAGCAAAGTGGCAATTCAGATCAAAAGTTTATTTTGAGGACAGGCATGTTCACTAGGGCTATATGTGAATTACATTTTCTACTTTTGGCATAAAAATAACCGCTCATAATGTTATACAGTATATTATCCAAGGTATCCATAATTTTCTTACCCAGTATATCAGACACTGATGTATTAATCAACCTATTCACCCCTAATGTCACATTTGAACCTTACCAAATCAAAGACTGGGCAAGTCCAGTTGAGATATGTAGGGGTGAATGCAATGAGTTCAGACTTGCAACTCCCTTGCATTATCCAAACTACCTACTAAGTTTGAAAACCACAGGTGCCTGTGCATGTGTCAGTACATGGCAAAACGTTTCGTAGCTAATAGTCTACCATACAAATCAAACAGGAGGACAAAAAACGACTAACTAATATAATCAGGGTACATCTTGTGTATATTTTTGTACCCTGTAACAGCAGAATCTGTTCTGTCTACAGTAAAGCTACAGAAATCAAAAGACAATTACCCCTTTCTCTAATGAAAACAAGATGGCAGTCCCCTTCATCATTAAATCATTGATTACTTTCTTATTATACGCATGTTCATGTGAAATTTGGCATAACTTTAAACATTATGTACTTGTACGGGAACTTGTATAGGAAGCAACCTCTGGAGTAGACCAACAGACTTTTTTTTAACATAAAAGGAAATAAATATATACCACATATTAGAGTTTATCTCATTCAACCCTGAAGCCACATTTGAACTCTTCCAATTCAAAGGTTGGAATACTTCATAATGAAATTTCAGGGTTGGACAAGTTAACTGATCCTAATCATTTGATTGAGACTCTGGAAAATTATCCTCAACACAATATACTGCATAGGACAAGGGCTATATATACTAGGTATAGCAGTTTATAATTTTCCTACAATGTTTTAGAGAATACACTCAAAAGACGTCATTAGACTAAAGAGAATTACTTGAGGGACTTGGGCTAATGAATACCAGTCTTGTCTTGTAAAGATTATTCTAATGATAGACCATATTTACCAGTGATTTTTAAGTCAATTTGGGGCGTTATAAAGGCCCTTTACCTGGATAATTTTTGCTTTTCCCTAAAATCAATTAAAAAAACACTCTGTTTTCCTAAAATTCTGTTTTAGGCACTGGCCCCTGTCAAAAAGAAGTTGAAAAATCACTGCCTGTCTTATGATGCTAAGCCTATTGTGGCAACCTGTCTAAACAGACCACTCAAATGATACCAACTGCCTATATAAACCACCTGTGTTGAAAGACCACTTAACAGTATGGTCTTTTGAATTACCTTCTGTTTTGGGAAATGATTTTCATAATAGTCCATATGCCTTGAGAGACTACTACTAGTCTAAGATAATATTCTTAGGACAAACCCTGTCTTGACAGACCGCTTAAATTACACCACCTATCTTGATGGATATAGTTCAAATGTACCATAAAAACTCATGTAATTTGCACAGTTTTTTGTGTTCAAATCAAGTTTAAAGTTGGGGGTACGCAAATTACATAGCTATAGATATGTTGTTGTTTTTTCTCCAGAAAAATCGTCGATTTGCAAGGTCTGCCATCTTGAAAAGTGGTGGTAATTGACAAGAAGAAGAACATGAGTTTACTGACACCCCCACCCCATACCCCCCTACACACACATGCATATTTAAGGTGTAAAAAGGAACCAATTTAAAATTTAAAATTTGGTCCCCACTTTCGTCAAACTATTTCCCCACTATTTGTCAAACATGAATTCCAAATCAAACAATATTTTAAAAAATGCCCAGATTTGGTTCTTTTCCTAACTTTTACCCACGCAAGGTCTGAAAATTCTCAAATACCTTCGTAAATTCCGGGACGAGAATTCAATAAAACATGAACCTTGGCCTATTTCGTAGAAGTACATTCTGTCTGGATCTCATTAAACATCGTCACTAACTACTCAAATAATTACAAGCCTCGGTAGAAACCACTAGGCTGTACTGTAATACTGAACTATACATCCAGACACACCTCCTGTTGTATATAAATCAAATACAGTTTTATTATAGTTGAAGCTGGAAATGATTTAAGAGCTTTTTATCACTTGTAGTTTTCTAGAAGGATTAACATGACTCAAGTTTAGAATGGTAAGTAATCGCAGTATAATCACAATTTAATTGACCCTCCGGAAATGGGAATTAAAAGCAAGTATTCTGCAAACATTTTATTTTATTTTGGTAAGTGCCAGAAAATCTCGAAAGTAACATTAGAAACAAAACTCATATATCAATTTGAATTTTTAGGTAAAATAACTCTCTTTTTTATTTTTTTGGCCACACTGAAGTCATTGGATTCATTAAACATACATAAACACTGCAGTGCACACTTCTAAGGTGATTACCCTAGGATAGTTACCGCTACAGTCATCATCCTCGTCCTTACAATGGACAATTCTATTTGTAACATCAACAGCTAAGCATATATCTGTTTCATTCCATGGCCACATATGGCTTTTTGTTTGTTTGTGTTTTACGTTCTAATAACAGTTACGGTCATTTTAGGACATGCCAGCTAGGTTTTGGTGGTGGAGGAAAAGCTGGAATACAGAACCTGGAGAAAAACCAGCAACTTGTGGTCAACACCTGGTAACTGCCCCACTTAGGCTTCGAACCCAGGACCCAGTGGTGAAGTGCTAGTGCACATGTTTGTAGATGGTCAGACACCTTAACCACTTGGCCACCGAGGCCCTACCTGTAAGACCAGTTGAAGAACAGCACAGCTCTCCGTATCCAAGTTGAAGATTTTTTGTTTAATTTCAACTGTGTACTCACTGCATCAATGTTCGACCTCTGGAGAACGGACCACAGGGTGAAATATATATACATCAGCATCATTGTAAAATCACTAAATGTTATGTGTAATAAATATTAAGATTAATGCCATAATTTTAACCTTGAGATTACGAATAAAAGATGAAAAACAGGTACGTTGAAGGGTGTTTTTTCCCTTGGAACCCTGAAACACAAACTCCTGTGACACATTCCAGTACTAGACCTCCGTTTAAAGACTGGAATTCGAACCCTGGACCTCCGATCACCACAATATCGCTAGGGCTCTAACCAATGGAGCTAGGCCTGGTCATCAGTAGTTTGATGGCCCGGTCCTACTAAAGTTCTATCCAAAATGAAAGCCAATTTAACCCATTCACCCCTAATTAAGTCACATTTGAACCTTCCCAAATCAAAGACTGGACAAGTCCAGTTTAAAAATGTAGGGGTGAATGAGTTAAGGGCAGGTTAAATGTGTGAAAATGGATTATTTATTGTTTTGTCAGCTGTGGGACAAGGATCGATCCTTAGGTAGTTTCAGGGAGGAAAAATTGAAGGTAAATTATATTTGTGTCTAACTATCATAGAATTTATGAAACTCCATTACACACACACACAAATAGATAGAAGACCACAATTTCAGGAACAAAACGCAAAGTTAAACCCATTTATAAAAATCCTTGGTTTTTCCCCCAACTACGACTTCGTTCAACAAACAGCGAGGTATGCACAACACTATCTTTCTGTAGCTATTTGCATATATATTGCAATGTTGTATAATATGTATACGTGAAACTTTGGTGGTTTTCCCAAAAATGAAAAAAGAGATAAATAAAATTCTAGATTTCCAAGGCAGAATAACATAAAATATGCCTGCTAGGAATGTTACAGTTCCGAGGCGGTGCTGCTGAGGCTGAGCTTATCAGGGAGATACAAGCCGACAATCTGACACAGCTACTTTGCTGTAACGTACAAAAGATTGCCCTAGAACACGACTAAACCAAGTTGATATGATGTTCATACAATAATTACATGATACATACATTCACAAAAATTTCTGAATCTGTGGAAAGAAGTTCTACATCCTTCATTTTCATATCAAGATCAAGATTACATATCAAATAGATCTTTATAGAAAAAATGACAATAAATGATTTGTATTTCAGAAGTTGATCTTTTAGATGCTATGGATAAAACGCTGATAAAATGTTCATGGAAAACATTTTATTTTCAATCAATGTCGGTGTTTTTCTTTTGTTGATACGTATACGGGATGGGGCCTTTCTTGTTTCATTTAGGAAAGAAAACATACCAATCGGGAAAGGAAATTTTCAAAAGTATTTACTACAAAATTTGAGAATAAGGCATTTTAATATGAAATAGTTTTAATTTGGAATGGGGCCAAA